AGTTCATGTGGTTTAATTCTTCTACATGAGCGCTACCGAATGGCAACACCCGGTGGAGCGCGTGGCGGACCCCGCGGGTTCCGGTTCTGTCGTCGGCGGGGGTCTTTTGGGTGCCGGGGGGCGGAGGATAGTCAGCAACGGTGGGCTTGCACTCACTGATCCGTTAGGCCGAAGTCCCGCGGCGCCTGGGGGGCTCGCTTGGCGGCGGGGGCGGGGGTGCTCTCGGGAGACGGGACGGGCTCCTCCTGGGTGTAGAATGGCTAGCCATCCAGAATGAATGTGTGAGGGGGTGGGGACCGGAGGGGGCTGGAGACGCCGCCTATCCTCGATGGGTTGGGGCTGTGACGGCGGTGGATGGGCCACCTTCGTCACAGTGCCGGAGAGAATAAGCGTGACAAATGAACCAGCTCGCCTCTGAAGGGGGGTTTTTTCGGGTGCCGGATGGGTATTCCTTGAGGAAACTTGGGGGATGCACTCATCGGTGTCCCAGTCTTACTCCCATGGAAAGGAGCTGGCCGACTGTTACGGGCGTATGGGTCGTGGAGGTATGCCGCCGTTAGAGACGGTGCTGCTGCGTCGCCCCGCGTGGGCTGGGCGGGCGGAGGTAGGGCGGCCGACCCTCCAGGTCAGGCTGTCTGGCCTCTGCTGGCCCGGCGTGTGTGGGGCGGCAATGTGGCGCCGATGACGATGACAAAACCTCCTATATGCACTACTGCAGGGTTGGGAGACTCCCGCAGCTGGCGTCCTCTGCGCCTCGACCGGCCCTGAAAAGGGGTGCATGCGGACACACGATACCGCGACCGGAAGCAGTTCGACCAGCGCATGCCAGAAATGGCATGACAATTACGGTGCCTGGATTGCAGGCGAGATGGATAAGGTTCACCACTCACCATTTAGCATGCAACCAAGGGCACAACAACCGGTATCCGGGAAATCTGGAGCACACAGTCGGGAGTTATCCGTCCGAAATGGAGTACCCTGGTGTTCGACGGCTGGAGATAGTCGGCAACAGGGAACCCGCAGTTGGCGAGCGACCTGATCCGTCAGGCAAAAGCCGCCGGGCATTGGGGCCCCTTTCAGAGTGGATGGCTGACGACTGTGCCAGGATACTGGGCATTGGGTGGGGAAGGGGACCAGAAAGAGTCCCCTTTTTTCTCCCCCGTGGGCGCCACCTTGTCGTGGTGGGGGAGCTTGCGTGTCCCAATGATGTACAGGGCTGTACCGGTGGGGGTTTCGACCCTTGGCAGGTTCTACCATGCCGGGGTGGCCTGTACAGAGAGACCAGACTAAGAGCGTCCATAATACTCCTGGATGGGCAGCTGCCTCCAGGTTTTATCCAGGGTCTGGAGGGTCTCATTCGTGGGGCCCAGAGGACCCTACAGCGCGAGCAGAGCGGGCTCGTTAGCCTGGTGAAGGCAGCCGGTCTAGGGGAAGGAAAACCCCGAAATCACACCCGAGTGGGCCAGGCTCGTAACAATCCGGCACTATGTAACAGTCGCGCCTCCGGGCTCGGTTTTCTTCGGGTTGATCCGGTCCTGTGGATTAGATCGTTGGTTACGAGCCGACCACAGGAAAGATTCTTAGGTGAAGGTGTGTGTGTGTGTGTGCCTGTCAATAAGAGAAGACAAATAAGTATAACACAATACGTCTTTATTTGCACGTCACGACCGCGTGCCGTGACGCGACGTCCCAATGTTTGGGTGTTTGGTGATCGCGCGAATTGTTTCCGCGGACGCTACGAGCCCCGCGGGGTCACAGTGGTAGGTGAGCGATTTGCTTGAGGCTTAGTTATGCAATTATCTCGTACGGCGCTTGATTCGTACAGACGGTGAGGGTCGACCCACCGATTAATGATCGCGCGGGATGCGCCCCGAGCCCCAAATATGCGCCGCTGGTGTTTCCGCCGAGATTTAAAGCTCGCGTTTGGGCTATTCGGCACGCGACTTGGCGACGGGTTGCAAAAACCGATACAAGAACGCGTTGCGACACGTCGCGCTCGTTTTTGTCCTCGGCCGTACCATCGACCGCCTTGGTGGTCGAGGGGTGCGGGCGACGTGAGTATTCCTTGCGCGCTGGGTTGATGCGTTAAATCCTAGCTAATCAGCTCTTGCCTTCCCGGGGCCCTATTTTATGAAATTGAGGAAAAAAATAATGTGAGATCGTTCCGGAGAACGCCCGGAGAGGCGGCAAACTCGCTGTCCGATCTTTATATCGCAAAGACGGCACAAAATAAGATCGTTCCGGTGAACACGCCGGAGCGACGGCAAACTCGCCGTCCGATCTTCATATCGCAAAGACGGCACAAAATAAAATCGTTCCGGTGAACACACCGGAGCGACGGCAAACTCGCCGTCCGATCTCTATATCGCAAAGACGGCATAAAATAAGATCGTTCCGGTGAACACGCCGGAGCGACGGCAAACCCGCCGTCCGATCTTTATATCGCAAAGACGGCACAAAATAAGATCGTTCCGGTGAACACACCGGAGCGACGGCAAACTCGCCGTCCGATATTTATATCGCAAAGACGGCACAAAATAGCATCGTTCCGGTGAACACACCGGGGCGACGGCAAACTCGCCGTTCGATCTTTATATCGCAAAGACGGCACAAAATAGGATCGTTCCGGTGAACACACCGGAGCGACGACAAACTCGCCGTCCGATCTCTATATCGCAATGACGGCACAAAATAAGATCGTTCCGGTGAACACACTGGAGCGACGGCAACTCGTCGTCCGATCTTCATATCGCAAAGACGGCACAAAATAAGAGCGTTCCGGTGAACACGCCGGAGCGACGGCAAACTCGCCGTCCGATCTTTATATCGCAAAGATGGCACAAAATAAGATCGTTCCGGTGAACACACCGGAGCGACGGTAACTCGCCGTCCGATCTTTATATCGCAAAGACGGCACAAAATAGGATCGTTCTGGTGAACACACCGGGGCGACGGCAAACTCGCCGTCCGATCTTTATGTCGCAAAGACGGCACAAAATAGGATCGTTCCGGTGAACACACCGGAGCGACGGCAAACTCGCCGTCCGATCTCTATATCGCAAAGACGGCACAAAATAAGATCGTTCCGGTGAACACACCGGAGCGACGGCAACTCGTCGTCCGATCTTTATATCGCAAAGACGGCACAAAATAAGAGCGTTCCGGTGAATACACCGGAGCGACGGCAAACTCGCCGTCCGATCTTTATATCGCAAAAGATGTAATCGTAATGGCCGCCGTGGACGGCCTGGTAACTAACTTACGAATTCGGCAGGAGCTTCTCGGTTGATCCTCTCTCGGAAAGAACTATCTGCGGAGACGGAACTCTGGAGACTTCCCTTTCGTCAAAATCTGCCAGGATTATATACCCGAGATTTTGGGGCTTCGGTTTTCTTCGCCCTTAATCGGAGTTAATTCCGCTTTTTAATCGGAATAAATCGTGATTATGCGGCGTTTGGCGAAGATAACTTCGGCGGTGCCGCTAGCTCGGCTCGGCGGCGGACCGTGCCCGAGCGTCGTTGCCTGGTGGTCGGGCATGTTCGGCTGAGCGCGACGTCTAGGCGCGGGGTCAGCGCGGGTCGGGGGGTGTGCGCTCAGCTGACTGCCGCGTGCTGTTAGGCGGCAGTCAGCGTAACGGCGTAAAGATTTTTGCGTCGTTACAACTTGGATGGAAATTATGACAACCTCAGCTGACAACGTCTCAGTATTCGGACCCGAGAACCGGCGTGGGGAGGGTAGTGTCCCGGCCCTCCCCATGTCGTCATCGAGCGACGGGCAGGTACAGGGCCTACCGCAGGCCCCTGTACTGACATGGTTACCGCGAAGCGTCGCGGCGGGGAACTCGACCTGGTCCCCGGTGTGTCGTCAAGAGACGACAGGTCACTCGTTCATGATAGCTCCGAAAGGAGCAAGAGTTGGATAAGCAGCGGTAGTCACGATAGTGGCCCGCTTTCTGACTGGGACCACAACAGCTGGTCCCCCTCCGAGCAAGCTCGGAGAGACCGCTCCCACCGGGGAATACGTAAAGTGGGGCCCCCGGGTCAAAAGAAGAAGGGGCTGCTACACAACGTGGGAGACACCTCGGCGTCCAGCAGCCGAAAGGGCGGTTCCCACCGGGGGACTCGCCGGACGAGCTCCCGTGTGAAGAAGAGAATGCCGTCATATACGTATCCCTCGTTTAGTGACGAGAAGCGCTCCTCCCACCGGGGAGACAGTGAGGTTAGCTCGACGGAGGAGGAGCAACCCACCGAGGGAAGGCGAGTGACCAGGGGGATGGGGTCTAAGATCCAAACCCCGACGCTGAGTCATTCGAGGCCTGGTCCCCTTTCTAGTAAAGGGGGCGTCCAGGCGAGGGGACGAAACGCGAGCGCGAGTAGTGGGAAGGGAATGACTACGGGGGAGCCCACCATAAGGTCGGACGTCATTCTCTCCCAACGGTCACGAATTCCGGTGGCGAGGGATAGCTCCGGCAAGTTTGTGGCTAGGGCCAATAATCCGGAGTCTACCACCAGCAGAGAGGAGGCCAACTCCAACCAGGCCGGAGGCGCGGTAAAGAGGACGAGAGAGACAACGAGCGGAGAGTCATCTGCGTCTCTTGTCGTTGTGACTCAGCCGATGCAGCCGAAGTCCTCTCCAGTTCTGATTTCAGGTAGGGACCCCACAGGCCGTAAACCCACGCACGGCCGCTTTGTCGGAATTCGGCAGAAGAGGGAGGAGGCGGCAATAAGGAAAAAGGAGGAAGCGGAAGCCCGTCTCGAGGCAGAGATCGCGGACTTCCTCGGCAGGGGGATCCTTCGATCCCTAAAGGACACGCGCCCTGTCGAGGAGGTCTTCAGGGACTCTGCCTCTAGAGCGCTACTCAGGGAGGCGAGAACGCCGGAGTTGGCCTCAGAGGTGGGTCGAGCCCTCGGGCTATCAGATTAGTGGCACGGAGGTCAAAGTCCTTGGAAGGTACGTTTGTGTCACTGATGAACTGAGCGGTGGCCACCTCCGAGGCCATAATGACAACCCTCATAGCGAGGGTTGCTGCACACGGCGAGGAGGAGAGACCAACCTCGGCGAACAAGGAGGCGGAACAGCTCCGGGAGGAGCTTAGGACCATGAGGATCACGGTCAGGAGCCCCGAAGAAAAATTGGCGGCCAAGGAGATCGATGCAGGACCAGCACCGGTACCGCAAATTGCGGCGTTAACTTACGCGCAGGCCGCCAAAAAGAGTGGAGTCTCATCGATGAATGAGGACACTCGACCAGGCCCCTCAAGGAAAAAGAAAAGGGTGATACAAATGAAGGCCGTGGACGGCTCCTTGAGCTCCTCCAGGGAGGCGGCGGAGAGGGGATCCAAAAGCGTAGTCCCGTCTTTTGACGACACTATGCCAATGGATGCCCCCCCTCCCGTCATGAGGCCTTCTATCGGAGGGGTGAGGAAGAAACTAGATGATGATCTAGCCAAGCTCAACCTCAAGCCTGAGGAGGAAGCGACGTATAAGGTCCTCTCTAGAGGAATCGACTACTTCCTCCAATGTCGAGAAAAAGTAAAGGCGGATAGAGGATCATGGGTTCCCGATGTGGAAGAACTAATTCAGGTCCTCGGTCCCCTCTCGGCCTCGGCCCCTACGACTGGAAAAGCGCGTGATGACCCGGTCGGGGAAGGGAGTGCTGGAAAGAACAGGGACCTAGCCCCAGTCCTGAAGGAGATCAACAGGAGGGCGGAGAGGAAGAGGGAGAAGAGGAGCAGAAAGGCAGCCCGAAGGAGAGAGAAGCTGCGGCAGGAGCAACAGCTCAGGAAGGAGATACGGAAACCTATAGTCCAACAAGGAGGGGGAAACAGGGCCTCCCCCTTCCGGAAAGTGGAAGAGACTCCTGTTAAAAGAGGGGAACCAAAAGGCCCTACGCAGGACAAGCGTAGAGGAGGGAAGGGAGGAGCTGGCCGAACATCAGGCCAGAAGCAGGAGACTGGTAAAGTACCCCCTCCCCCTCCCCCAACCATCTCTTAGCCAACAAAAGTCCTAGAGAAGGAAGAAACCTGGAGTAGGGTGATTGGGAGAGGGGAGAAGAGAAAGGCGAAGCAAGAGCAGAAGAGTGCAGCGGCTCCCCAACGACAGGCCCCTGGCCCGAGGTAGGGGGGACCGAAAGCGGTGGCAGTGGTGCTGCGGCCGCCTAGATCTGCGGCCGTCACAGTCACTTGCCCTAAGGATTTGTACAAAGAATTCATGGTTGAGGCCAGGCGCCGGATAAAGCCTAAAGAAGTTGGCATACCGGGTGCTTTGAAAATTAGAACGGCCCGTACCGGGGCCTTACTTATTGAGATGCCTGGCCTCAACGCAGGGCCCTCCGCCGACCGGTTCGCCGAGGAACTCGGCAAGCTGGCGGCGAAGAAGGGCCCCGGCTACAGCGTCCAAAGGCCGGTGAAGACCGCAGCACTGCGGCTCACCGGCCTGGACGCAACGGTCGGGGTCGAGGATGTGACGGCCGCTGTGGCTCTCGCTGGGGGCTGCCCACCCACGGACGTGTCCGGGAGTGAGCTGCAATTCACCCAGCGAGGAACCGCCAGCCACGGCTGTGGTGCGGTGCCCGTTGGCGGCGGTCTCCAAGGTCGCCGCTGTGGGACGGGTCCTGGTGGGATGGACCGGAGCCGGGGTGACGGCGCTGCCTGCTCGCGCGGCGCTCTGTTTCAGATGTATGGAACAGGGCCATGTGCGCGAGCAGTGCAAAAGCGCCGTCGACCGCAGCGATAATTGTTATCGCTGCGGTACCCCCGGCTACCGCGCCAAATATTGTAGGGCGATGCGGCGCACTGCCCTGTGTGCGCAAAAGCGGGGAAACCTGCCGGCCACAAGGCCGGCGGTCCGGCGTGTAAACCGCTGACCGGCAGACAGAAAAGGAAGAGGGAGGCTCAGAGGAAGCGGCAGCCCGGAACCAGGAACAGCCCCCCACTTCGGAAGGGACTAGGGGCGAGGAAAGGGAGGAGGCCAGACCGGCTTCCTCCCGTACGCGGGAGGATATGATTGTGGAGGCGGCTTCCAGCCGCACCCTGGACCCCACCACCCCGATGGAGGAGGAGCCGCAGCCGCAGAGGGGGAAAAGGAGGAGGACCGCCATGGAAGCGGTCCCCCCGGCGGCGTCATCGGTGCACCAGGAACCTGAGAAGGAGGATGAGGGAACTGAGTCACCGGAGAGGACCGATAAGGTGAGGAGGGTGGAGGTCGTTGAGACCCCACTCCCAACAACTTTAGACGGAGAGCCGGAGGACGCGCCATCCTCGGCTCTCCCTGACAGCCTCCCCACCTTGCACTCCCGAGAGGAGGGGGAGGTGGAGGTAGGAACCCCCCTGGTAGGGACCTCCATAGCACCAGTGGAGGAAGTGGCAGACACCACTGAGACACCCAAAGAGGAAGCCACCACCACGGCCAAGGACCCCTCAGAGGAGATAGGGACGGCGTCACCGCCACCCGAAGTCTCTCTGAGGGGCACCGACGAGGATCGCCCGGAGGAGACGTGAAGGCCTGGCTTTCACGCTCCTCCGGGTATCACAGGCCAACCTAGGCCGCGGCGCCCTTGCGCAGGATCTCTGGTGTCAGAGACTTGCGGAAATGGGCGCCGGCCTGGGTCTGGTCACGGAGCCGTACTATGTTCCGGCCGGTAATAAAAACTAGCTGGACAGTACGTGCGGCTCTGTGGCTGTGGTGGTGAGACCCGCAACGGGCGTTCCCCCCTACAAGGTCAGGAGAGGGGACGCTCGTATGTGGCGGTTGACCTTGGGCCCATCACTGTTTTGGGGGTATACTTACCCCCTGTAACCAACAGATCAGGCCTCGGCGAACTCGCCCGCATTGTGAGGGTCCTGGACAGGGTCGGGGATGTGGCGCGCCAGTGTCATCCCCGACCCGTGATTGTCGCCGGGGATTTAACGCCCACTCCGAGGAGTGGGGCTGCAGTCCCCGGCAAAAGAATCCTCGGGGCGACGCCGTGGCCGAATGGGCGGCAGGCTTAAGCCTCGTATTACTCAACACGGGGTCCACCAGCACCTTTGTGCGGCCGGGCGGGAGGGGCGAGTCGGTCATTGACTTGACGTGGGCCTCCCCCTCGGCCACCAGGTTATTCCGGAGGTGGGTGGTGGAGGAGAGGGAGACATTGTCTGATCACAGATATGTGGCGTGGACTCTCCGACTCCCCACCCCCCTCCGGAGGCTGGACCGCCGCCCAGGAGAGGGGGACTATCCCCTCCCCAAAAGATGGGCCCTAGGTCAACTCGATGCGGACATGTTTCAGGCGACCGTCCTCGCGGCGACCTGGCACCTCGAACAGGAGCCAGGTGTAAGGGACACCCCGGCCCCCTTGAGGGGGCCAAGGAGGTGGTAGTCATCGTGATGTCGGCCTGCGATGTCGCGATGCCCCGGTCCCACCCCCGCCGGCGCCGGGCTGCGTACTGGTGGACGCAGGAGCTCGCGGAACTCCGCGACTCCTGCGTCCAGGCCAGACGGGCGCACACCCGGGCCCGGCGAAACAGCGGGGACGCCGCGGGGACATAAGAGGATTACCGCAACGCGCGGAAAGCCCTCAAGGTCGCCATTGACGACGCCAAGGCGAGAGCGTGGGAGCGCCTGGTGGACTCCTTGGATGAGGACCCGTGGGGGCGCCCATATAAGCGGACTGTCGGAAACATACGTCCGTGGGCGCTCCCGGCTACCGAGTCCATGGATCCCCGGGACCTCAGGGACCTCCTCGACACCCTCTTCCCGAGGACCGAGGGGGGACCGCCCAGGATTCCCGTTCCTGAAGTTCAGGACGGGGACTGGGACGAGGACCTGGGAATCTTATCCAAGGAGTTCACCAAGGCCAGGAAGAAACTCGGGGCCAAGGGCAAAGCCCCAGGCCCCGACGGGATTCCTAGCCGAGCGTGGGCTCTCGCTCTTGGCGACGGAGACCTCTCCGCCGCCACGCGGGAAGTTATGGAGGGGTGTCAGAGAGGGAGTCTTCCCCCAAGAGTGGAGGAGGGCCAAATTGGTCCTCCTCCCAAAGGACAGCAAAGTACCCGGTGGGCCGCCGGCCTACAGGCCGATTTGCCTGCTGAACGAGGCGGGTAAGATGCTGGAACGCATCATCGCGGACCACCTCGTCCAGCATCTGTCCCTGGAGGGGCCGGATCTCCACGAAAACCAGTACGGGTTCAGGCCCGGACGATCAACGCTGGATGCGCTCCAGCACGTCCGGGAACTGTCCCGTACCGTCGTGGAGGTCGAGGGCGGGGTGCTGTTGGCGGTTTCGTTGGATATAACGAACGCTTTCAACACCCTGCTGCCCTGGCCGGAGATAGGACGAGCGTTGGAACACCACCGTGTTCCCGCCTATCTCCGGCGCATTATGGCCGACTACTTCAGGGACAGGGACCTCGCCTACTCGGGAAGAGGCGGGGTCCAAGGCCTGCGCCAAATGGAACGCGGTGTTCCGCAGGGGTCCGTACTGGGCCCCCTGCTCTGGAACATCGCGTTCGATCGGGTACTGCGTACTCCCCTCCCCCCCGGCTGGGTCTGCTACGCAGACGACACTCTGGTCTTGGCCGAGGGGGAGGATTGGGGGGAGGCTCACCTCAAGGTGGAAGCCGCTTTGCACTCGGTGGTGAACACCATCAAGGACCTCGGGCTCAGAGTGGCCCCCCAGAAGACCCAGTCCATGTTATTCCATGGACGGGGTCGGGGTGGGCCGCGAAAAGCCCGGGTCCAGGTGGACGGAGTCCGCGTCCGCGTCAAGCCCACGATGAATTATCTGGGTTTGACGTTGGACAGCCAATGGAACTTTGGGCCCCACTTCAGGAGCCTGGCCCCCCGGGTCCGCAAGATAGGCACGGCGCTGGCCGACCTAATGCGGACCCAGGAGGCCCTGGATGGCGGGCACGTCGCCTTTCTGTGAGGGTGGTGCACTCGGTCGCCCTATACGGGGCACCCCGATTGCTAGCTACTATCCGTAATAAGGCCCTGCTCAGGCAGGCCACGTGGGCGGTGCTGATAAGGGCGGTACGGGGGTACCGCACTATCTCCCACATGGCGGCGGCCTCCCTGGCCGGCTCCCCCCCCCGGTGGAGCTCCTAGCCGAGGAGAGAAGTCTCCTCTACTGGCGAATAAAGGAGCTCCGCCAAAGGGGGGAGGGCCCATCGGCCAGGGACCTGAGGGCCCTTAGGAACCAGGCCAGTGACCGGGTCCTCGACAAGTGGTCAGCCGAGCTGGCCAACCCGCGAGGATTCGGTCGCCAGACGGCCGAGGCTGTCCGCCCCTGCCTGCCAGAAATGGTGGGTAGGAGGGGACGCGGACTAACATTCCATCTGGTGAAGGTGCTGACCGGGCATGGTTGCTTCGGGAGGTACCTGCACCGGATAGGCAAGGAAAACACCACCGAGTGCCACTACTGCCCGGAGCCGAACGACACGGCGCAGCACACCCTCGCCGAGTGCGAGGCGTGGTGCGAGCAGCGCCGTCTCCTGGTCCGGGCAGTGGGGTGCAGGATGGAGAACCTCTCGCTCCTGCGCATGGTGCAAGCCATGTGCGGGAGCGAGGAGGTATGGAGGGCGGCGACCTCCATCTGCAAGAACGTAATGTCCCGGAAGGAAGCCGCCGAGTGGGGGCGCCGACGCGACCCCGCGACGCGGACCGCGGAGTGCGGGGGGGTTGAAGGCGGCGCTCCACGGGGGGAGATGAGAGCGACTCCGAGGTGGCGCCGGCCGGAAGGAGGCGGCGAAAACCGGCAGTCCGGGCTCCGCGGCCCCCCCGGCCGCCTCGGGATCGACTTCGGTCGCGCCGGGGAGGGACGCGGGGACGGAGGTGAATGACCTCCCCCGTGCTCCCTCGCGCGTAGGTTAGATTAGGAAAGGGGAGGAGCGAGGCCCTCTGGGGAAGGGTGGGAACTCTAGGGGTAGGGGCGGGGATGTGGGGGCGGGTGTTCCCCCCTCCCGTAATAGTCACCGGAAGGCCAACCCGGTCGGCTTAGCCGACTGGGGCGCCGCGTCATGAACCTTTTCCTCAAGGAGAAGGGGCGCGGCACTTGGGCGTGGGGCTCGATGATGAGCCCTGGGGCCGGGGTGTCAGGGAGGGAATGTTGGCGCAGTTCCCCTGACTCCCCCCATCACGGTCCGACTGGTAGACACCCCGCAGAGGTTTTAATGAGAAAGAGTCTCACATAACCCTCCCAGGGGGTGGAGGGTACCCATGATGGGTTTCCCCTGCGTTATCAAAAAAAAAAAAAGCCTAGTGAGGCAGCCGATTGTCTGAAGTCCACAAGGCAGAACTCGTGTGGTCTAATTCCTCTACACGAGTGCTGCTGAACGGCAACACCCGGTGGAGTGCGTTGTGGACCCCGCGGGTCCTGGTCCCGTCGTCGGGTTGAATCTTCTGATCTCCGGGGGCGGCGGATAGTCAGCAACGGGGAGCGAGCACTGTCGTACACCCCCTGATCCGTTAGGCCAATGCTCTTGGGGGTCGGAGGGTTCGCTCGGCGGTGGGGGGAAAGAAGTGCTTTCGGGGGACGGGGCGGGCTCATCTTGGGTATAGGATGGTTTTGTCATCCAGAATGAATGTATGCGTGGGGGGAGGGGTTCCAGAGGGGGCTGACGACGGCGCAGGTCCTCGAAGGAGTGGGGCTGTGGCAGTGACGGATGGGGCTGTCCCCGTCCCAGTGCCGGAGAGGATATGTGCGTCGAATGAACCAGCTTAGGTCGCCTCTGAAGGAGGGTTTTTCTGGGTGCTGGGTGGGCATTCCTTGAGGAAACTTGGGGGATGCACTCATCGGTGTCCCAGTCTCACCCTCACGAAGGTGGAACCGGCCGGCTGTTACGGGTGTATGGGTCGTGGAGGCATGCTATCGTTGGAAGTCGATGCCACGGCGACTTGCTCTGAGGGATGGCCGAACGGGTGCCAGGCCGCTGGCCCGGCAGGCCGGGCGCCCGGATGGCCGGCCCGAAGGGAGGGGTAGCGTGGTTGCAGCGGCGGTGATGAAGCCTCACGGATGCACTACTGCAGGACTGGAAGACTCTCGCAACTGGTCGTCCCTGCGCCTCGACCGGTCCTGTAAGTGGTGTATACGGACACACGATACCGCATTCGTAAGCAGTTCGGCTGACACGTGCTTAATGGCGCGACTTTGACGGCGCTTGGGTTGCATGCGGGATCCATCCCCCATGTAATCATCGGCGCAACACCCGGTGTCCGGGAAGCCTAGAACACACACTCAAGGGTGGTCCATCCGTGAGGGAGTACTTTGGCGTTCGGCGGCTGGAGATAGTCGGTAACGGGGAACCCGCAGGTGGGCGACCTGATCCATGAAGCAAATGCCGTCGGGCATTGGGGCCCTTTCGGAAGGGATAGCCGTCGATTGTGCCAGGTTACTGGTCATCGGGTGGAGAAGGGGACCAAAATAGTGTCCCCTTTTTTCTCCCCCATGGACGCCACCTTGCAGTGGTGGGAGAGCTTGCGTGTCCTGATGATGTACAGAGCTGTGCCGGCGGGGGCTTAG